CTTAATGAAAATACTTTAATTGCACTAGTATATATAGGCCTACTGTATATGTTCTACATTTGACACATAATAATCTTAACTGTTATGCATTTTATCATCAAACACAAAATTTATTACATGAAATGTAATCATAAAACCAAAAAATAAAAACAAATTTAACTTCCAGTTTTTATCACAATGAGAATTTTACACCGTACGATAAACTTATTCGAATCGATAAGAATGAGTGGACGAGGATACAATGTAACCATTTTTCCAATTACAGCGCTCTCAAACTCTGCATTTTGGATAAGGAAACCGTTAGATTTTACACTTAAAAACCATTAAAAAAAACGCATGTTTAAAAGTTATAAATCCCATATTTGGTTATAAATGTTAAAAAATATCAATACTTAAAAAAATGAATAGACAGCATTGATAACACTTTGCTTAACATTGATAATATTAAAAGCACTTTGCTGAGCTGTTTATAGCTATGAACTTTGTTATCGAATAGAATATTTAAATTCATCGTGCACACAATTTATTACATTAATTACATTCCATATATTTTTTTTCTGGATTTTTGTTTAAAAAATTAGTATTAATAACCAGCAATAACCTTTTAAAACAAAATTTAACTTATTGAAATATCATTATAAGATGAATTTATCTCTCACAACTTTCTGTCATCACTTAATTTTTTTTGGTTTTTAATTCGTCAAATTTTGAAAGAGCATTAAGAAAAATACACACTATAAAAATTATCAAATTTTCCTGACCTCCAGCTCTAGATCCAACTCACGCCAATTGCTACCCCTGCAACACTACTCTTCCCTTACACTCCACCGTATTTTACACTTTCAAATTAAAAAAATTGAACTCATAATTCGTGAATTTTTCTTTTTTATATACATAATTTTGTACAACTTTCATTTATAAATACTATATTCTTTTATTTTTTAAACGCTTTTAACTTATTGGGGTCGATGTTCTGCTGTGTGAAGGTAAACTGATGAATATATTTATTGCAATGAACGGCTGCATTATGCTCCTCGAAACGAGTACACAAATGTCTCTCTAATGTATACATAATCTATCATTTACATTATCATAATTGAATCTATAGATTGTCAAGCGCAAGAGAAACACTTCCCTAAAAATATAATACATTATTTATTGCATTATTCAATCTGGAAATCAGGAAAACATTATTGCTTTTTAATTACTGTTTTAAAATTTATATGTTTTCATATAATATTTAATATTATTTAATAAATGTTAGGCTTCTTGAAGTATTTATATAAATTAACTCATGATGTATACTTATTTAATCTGAATCATGTTACAAGATAGTCGTCAGCATAACGACAAAAGCTAATTCCTAGTTAAATCATTATAATTTTGATAAATTCACTCATCACTATATCTGTCGATTTTATCTCTTGAAACCTTTACATTTAATAGGAAAATATAAATACAGTAGATCAAATATAGTATAAAGAAAAGTTCAAATTTCGTCCTTGGAAAATTTAAAAATTTTCCACCTTTATAATAATAATAGCTTCGCAAAAAAATAATAAAATAAAATAAAATAGAACTCATTTATACTAAAAAAATACTATATATATTAGCAATATAATTTTGAATTATTTTTTCATTGTCGACTCCTTTCACCTAGTGGGCCTTTTCTCCATACGCATCGTTTGTTCGGCCAGGCCCACATGGAGAAGGCCGGGTTATGAAGGACCGGTCCGGGAATTTTTCGGGTTATCTATCCCGTATATTCGGGACAGATAACCCGAAAAATTCCTAGATAATTTCTCGCAGGATTCAATCAAGGGTCCACAGAGCGATAGGCCAATTTTCTTTGCTCTGAAGCTTGACCAATCCGGCTGTCAAAGTACAGTAGTTTCGAAAAATTATACTATTTAGCATTTAATAGGAATTCGAAAAGAGCAAAATGTATAAAATTACTATAAATACAAAATACTTAAGAGATTTATTGCCTGCAGTACAATCGAAGCTCAAAAATTCGTGCGTGGCAATGATTTATCTTAAAAATTACGTTGTTTTGCTATTACGAAACGTGGCCAACTTTCCTCAAAGTATAAATTTAGATTTTAAATTCTTAATTTTAATTTTAAAAAGTTAAAGAACAAATTGAATAATTAAAAAAATTCATCTACGTAGCTTATAAACGGCCATTCACATAAAAAGAATGTTTAAAATATGATGTCATACTGAAACTTGAAAAAGAAATTAAATACTTTTTACCATATTACAATAATAAAAAAAATTATTAAAGTTTCTATTCTTTTAAATGTTAATTATTAGTTAAAAGAATTTATGAAATAAAAATATTTCACGTGAATATTCCCATTAAATGTAAATGATAAGAGGAATTTTATCTGTTTGATTATATCAAAGTCTAACAGCTACTTTTAATATGATGCATAATAATTGATATCATTAAAATAAATAAAATACAGCATCATCAATGTTATTTTTATTTTAATAACATTCTGAAATCTTGATACTTTTAAACGATTGATCACTATCGTTTCGGACAATCGTTTTAATTTTATTGTCTGTACAAAAGATAAAAATAACTACATATAATGAGTTTAATGTTTCAATAATTTAATATTGCTGAGGACTATATAGATTAATCGAAGCAAAAATTATTACGAAATATAAATATTTCACAAAAATAGATAAATTTATTGTATTTCTATGTATTTTCTTAATTTTTTTTATTCTATTTTAAAACACCAGTACTTGCATTAAGATTATCCACAATCTTTAATGATAAACAAATTAATATTTAATCGAATTTATTTGTTGTATTCATAGCTGAATCGAATACAGATTATTTTTAATATAAGTTAGCTCCATTCTCTAAATAAATAAAAAAAAAATCAAGAAAAATTTGCTGTCATTGTAAAACACAAAATGAGGGTGTGCCATATAACTTAAGCTGGTTTTGAATTTTAAAATAATATTTTTTGAATTTTGTTTCCTTCTGCTTCTGAATTACATAATTTGACAAATATTCTCTTTCAGAAAATTCAAAAGAGATTATTACTAGTCTGAAGTCATCATTATAATGGCAATTGTTATGAGATGCTATCAAAAGTCCAATTATATTTAATTTTATTGTAAATTATTCAAGTACTATAATTATTTCTGAAGGTAATTTCATGTAATATACAACATTTTTCCTTACGAAATAAACTCCGCCACAAAATTATGGAGTGATATAATGAATGATATACTGTATATGATTTTTATTCAAACGTCATACACTATATTTCATTCATATTCTACTTTTTCCCCCAAGGCAATGATGGTTAAAAAAAGAAAATATACTCATAAATCTTATTAAATATTCATAAGATGTCATATTTTTATAAATAATAGTAAATATTTAGATAAAGTTGAGTAATAAAAGAATAGAAAGGACTCAACTTCTTTATGTTAAGGTTAAATAAATTATCTACATCATAACTATATTTGAAACAGAAATTTAATATTTTACTGTAATATATTTCTTATTATCTTTGAATGGATTCACTTTAATAATTATTAAATACAGTAATTTGCTTTATTACACAGAAGTGATGCAATTAATTATTTCTTCTGTTGTAATGAAGCTATTAAACTATTAAAATATGTTCCTATAATTTTATTAAATGTACATTTTAGAGAAATTATTTCCTGAAAAAAGGAGAAAAAACAGAAAAGGTCATAGCTCATCTCTTCCATATTTTTTGATTATTTAAAGACATTGATTATTGCAAGAATTAGGCCTAATACTATACTTTACTGGCTGCTATATATAATAAAGGGAAAGTATCGCCATACTTTCCCTTTTCTGTTATATATAACAGTCGGGAATTTAAAATACTATAAATAAAATTACCTTCCCAAGGTGTTTATATTTTTCGGACACCAAGACATGGAAAAAATTCGAGTTTTTCCTGCAATATGGATGTTATTGTGTGTATGTGTGGTGCCATTTTATTCACTCATTTTGAAGCTTAATTACCGTATCTTTCGTCGAAAATTTCAGAAATTTTGCCTGGAGGTTTCCGTATTGGGAAAATTGATGCTATTAAATTTTGGTGGCTAAAGGTCGAAAAATGAGGATATTAGAGGAAGTTATATGTCATATCTCGAGTGGGGTCGGACTTAATAAAAATTTTACTCATTATTAGCATTTACAATTTTTTTTTAAACATAAAACTTATCTCTAGCTTCAAAATTAAGCTTTTTGATATTTTGTAATAATTAATATTAGAAGAATAAAAGAATTATCATCTTAATACATAATACGAAACGTAATATAAATTATATATTAATTGATAATACGATTATTGTGTAGTTATGTTTCTAACGATAGTCCAAAATATTTTATTCAATACCAAAATTTAATAACTTACATAAATAAAGAAATTGCTGGGAGGAACAAAATGGTATTCCCAGGGTACATCATTATTGGTTTTGTAATATATAATAACATAAATGCGTTTCTTTAATTATGTCTGTGTATATGGAACGAATGCAGCTTAATTAATTAACGAAAATGAATTAATTAAATTAAATTATAACGTTCAAATCATATACATATATGCTTATATTGCGCTACACAGTCTTGACTGGTTGTATTTATTTAGCTGTATTCGTAAAAACGCTAATGCTATGACGTGTAATTTTATTGTTTAAAGTACAATTTGATCCGCTTAACTTAAATATGAGCTAGAGAATCTGGAAACCGGTTGTTTATATTAATACAAGATTATATTCGTTTGCGAAATGACATTGAATACTGCAAGGCTACCGGAAAACTGGTTTCCCTTTCATAGATCTAATACTAATAAAATCGGATAAAAAAACTTCAACCTGTTAAATGTACTTTCACAACCTCTTATTGCCAGTGTGTATCTTATACATTCCGAGTTAAATTTACTTGCAGTTGGAATCGATTGAAAGTTTAGAATTTAATTAGACATTTCGAGAAACTACAAGATAACTTGTAAGTACGATAGTGTTTTGATTACTTTAAATACATTATTTTATACATAAATTCTAATCGAAATAAAATCAGATGTCTGAATTTCATTATAGAATCGTATATCTCTTCATTATACTCTCGATAAGTTCATATCGGGATTTAACTATTTAATTTTCTATTAAATTGAGATATTTTTAATTTTTGGTCTATGTTATTACAGAATACAAACTATATGTCATAATACAAATTACATAATTTAATTTTTAGAAAGTGGGTCAACACTAAAATGAGCTTTCACTTTCGAAATATGGGCCATTGTTATACGTTTGCTCGTGTTCCGCTCGTCAAACTTCAACCAATCTTTTAGATTACGTTAAAATACATTAATTTCTCTAAGAATTCTTTTTTTTTAATTATAATAAACAAATTATCTAAACATTTGCTAATTTATATTTCGTAACGTATTTAAACATCCTTAGAAACTTCCTAAATTAAAATTTCAGCTAAATTCTTTCGAGAAGTAGGTTAAATTTGAAATTGATAGGGTTACCCCTTGACGAATAATTATAGACATGTTTTTAATTCGTTTGAAAGTATTATTATATTACAATTAATAAAATTCGTATATCATATTACAATATAAATAATCAATGTGTTGTTCCTAAAAGTTAAATTACGCTAATTCTATGAAATATAGTGACCACCCTGGTGCTATAATAACTGTGGGACACCGTATACGACCTATTATACAAAGGACACTTCACGCAGGTTAGAGACACAACTTTATTCCTTTCAGTACGGATCCTAACTCCCTTCTCGTTCGTTTTCATACTCAACTTCCCCCTTCCCTGACCATCCGATTCTGGTCAAATCTGGTCTATAATAATGGGGGGAAAAAAAACAGATTTTGTGAATTACCATCCACTTCTTCCATGCACTTGCACATGCATGGTGGGGAAACAAACAGTAATATTTCAATAAATCAGATTGTTTTTATTTAATAATGTATAATATACTTTTAAAAGTGATATTGAAGTACTTAAATTTGGATAAAATTAATTAAACTTTAAATGCTAATTTTACTACATTCTGCGAAACTTTATAATAGAATTGACTTGTCACAATCAAAATTTTAAAATCATTTCCGTAATATTTAAGGTCCTCATTTAAACATTTTAAAATAAGTGTAAATAATTTAAAATTTTAAAATTTAACTTTATAAAAAATAAAATTATAAATTTAACAAATGTAGTCTCATAAACTGATAATTATAAAATTAAATTCAACATGCAATATATTTATGTCGTAGTATCTTAATTTACTTGGTTATTTCTTAGAAAAAATATTTTACTTTTAAACGTAATGAGAATATTTAGGGTATCTATTATAATTGTATTGGCCTCATTTCTAGGGGGTGATGTGAGTATTGTATTCCCAGAGGATTTAAGAATAAAAAATTATTAAACAAATAATAAATAAATATTTTTTTTATAAATTAGAGTTTTTGTCATACTATTCTTTATTAAATTTTCCCTTGTTATTTATGGTTATTTAATCAATATATTTACAAAACTAGAATTGTTTATTAAAAAAAATTATTATAAATTGCTATACGGATGTATAGAGAGGTCACTGAAATGATGCCCAATGTTGAGCTGGCGAAACAANATATTTACAAAACTAGAATTGTTTATTAAAAAAATTATTATAAATTGCTATACGGATGTATAGAGAGGTCACTGAAATGATGCCCAATGTTGAGCTGGCGAAACAAGGACGGATTTAAAGGAATGCGATTCTTCTCACTAAAAACAAAATAAATGTTTACTTTTTATGAAATTTATTTATACTTTTAACTTGTTATATTCTAAAAATGTAACTGCTTATGGCTTAAACACTAACTACAATGTCAAAGTGGGCTAGAAGATATAGTTCATTCGTACGTATGAAGTTAAATATTTACTCACAGTTTTCGTATGAACTCGTGAACTACATTAACTTAATAAAGTTAGTTCAAATTGGAAATTAAGTAGTAAAGAAAAAAGCCATTATATATTACATTGAATAATAAATTATATATATATTAAATTTAATATGAAATACTAAACCTTAATTTGCGTTTTCATCATTTACTTTTAAGAATTAAAATGATATAACTGGACAATTAAAACTCTGTAATTATATGTGTGTATTGTTTACTACTAAAACTCCTTATGTGACATAAAAATGGAAGTTTATATGCTAAAAAATTTTTCCTTTAAATCAGATAAAGCAAAGGTGGTTTATAGGTTCAGTGTCAAAGTGTAAGAACTAAGTACAAAAATATCATTTCTGATTTTTTCTGTTGAGGGATATGCCATATTCGAAATACATATTTTACAAATAAAACAATAATATGATAGTTCTTTAAATGAAATATTTGAATAAATATGTACAGTATTAGATTATAAATCTTTATTTTAAATAAGCAATTTTCATCATTATTATTAAAGAAAACAAGTTTTGTTAGGAATATTTTCGATAATAAATTCACCTTATTTACTTGTAGATTTTAGTATTGTAAAAATACATTTAATCTTTCAAAACGTTACGTTAAAAATATAAAACACTAAACCGAATTTAGCCCTTTAAGATTTCTTATGTTTTTTTATTTAAATCTTTTACACAAATACAATGATATATAAGGTGAACTATAATGGTAAACCAGAATGAAGCTATCCGCTTGGATTCAGTGGCATTAGAGTCGGAGTGAGTTTTATTACTGTTAATAATATATGTAAAACAGTAATAAAAACAAGCTGATACACTGATATAAAGTTGTAAGCTGATATATATATATATAAGATGATCAGTGGAATGATTGAGGCTAGAATGTACGAATGTACAAAAGAAAGGATTTAATCAAGGACAACTTGAACAAGTATAAAAATTACACTACAATTATAGATCTCTCTGACTTTTTGGCTACTTGTTTGATGCAGGAGCTATTGCTTCCTCTAAGAGGTTTCGGCAAAACCACCTACCGACTTTCAGATCAAAATAAAGTGCCAGGAAAAAAGTAAATTCTCCCAACTTCATCAAGTGCCAGAAATCACACAACCATGTCTACCGACTCCATTACAGTCACATCTGTCTGCCTGGTTGGCAGAAATTTCATTAAAATCAACCGTACTTTGTATGTTCCACCACAATAAAACAAGGAACAGAACGGTACTTGTAACATTCCAAACAATCAGCCCTGCAGAATAAAACCCGACGGCAACTGTCTGTCCGTTCCTTCTGTCAGACTGACTGACTGAAACTCTAGAAAATTATGTTCTGTAGAGGACAATTATTGTCTCATTTATTTTAGATAACGTTAGTTCGTTTCAGAGTGCCTGCTCTAGTCAGCGCATATTCTAACGTTCAACTGAACACAAAATGTGTAATGGAAATTTTGAATTGTGCAATGGTAATTCTAACGATTAAGGTTTAACGATAATTAATGCATTCTGAACTAGTGTTTAAATGGTTTTAATACAGTTAACAATTTCGTGATGACACTTTTTATTTTACTGAAATGAACTTTTAGTGTTGTAAGTTTTATTTTTTATTAAATGAATGCATTATAAGATATAAGCGTAAACATTTATTTAAATCTGAAAGGGAGTAATGTGAACAGTGCAAGAGTAATACTAAATCGGGTTTAGGCTGCACATAAGTGATTTGGAATCGATTTTAGATTACCGGGGGTAACTTGAATGAGGTCAGTTTGAAGTCTTTACACCGGATCCCTCAGAGAGGTAGACCTGACGCCTTTACTACCTCGGCCATCCCACCTGTGTCATCAGTTGTCCAGAAAGACACTTTAATTTAGGTTAGTGGGCGGCTTTGTGTTAAAGTGTCCGATCTGCTAGAGCCCTTGGAAAAAGCTATTTGATTATTTAATAAATGCACGATATATAATGAACACTTTAAGTCAAATTGAAACACTTTAAAGTGTTCCAATTCGACTTAAAGTTCTCATCCAAGAAAAAATAACAATTATTACTTTACTTACACTTATACTTTTTCGTATTAAAATAATATTTATCCCTGAACTAAAGTAGACAAGTTTTTTCCTCAAACAGATGACCTCGAGTATATTATAGAGTTCTATGATACAGAGGTTGATGTATAGGCCTATGTGTCTATTTATTTAGACTAGGTGTTAAGTAGTATTAAGGGCAAAAAGCAATAACAGAGGTTGATAATAAAACACTGTTCCTAAATTCCTCAATTATCATTGTGATTATCTCTTAAATCTTCATTGTTATAGAGGTTATTTGTTAAGATTTTGACCTCTGAGTCAAACAGATAATGTAATTATTTAAGAAGTTAATGTTAACCAAAATGAAACAGTGCGTTCACTGGGACATGGCTTATAATATTGAGAAATGCCATGCAAATCGGGGCAATATTATATGTAAAATAAAATAATAACATTGGATTTAAGACGTTTCGGAAATAAATTCCTCAAATAAAAAATTTTTTTCTTCATTTGCATTTACTAAAAAGTTATTAATTCGGCATTTGTTTACCATAATATATTAACTTTTTATTCCATTTACTGTTTAAATTTTTTAAAATATCTTTACTTAACCAATGAAATAACGTTTAAAAAATGTTGTTAACTTAAATTTATATTTAATTGCATTAAATACAAATTTTCAATATTACTTATATATAATAGCCAAACACTTTTCTAGCATATTTACTACTTTTCTTAGTCAGACAATAACACAAGATCAGACACTAACTGGCGACACTGGCACGATATGTAAATATGTGAGCTTTAAATAAATTTAAATAATTATGTAATTGTATTAATTTCAAGTTGGAATCAAAATTGTTAATTTATATATTTTTATTTTAAGGCAACGGGCTATAGTCAAGCACTTTATTTGAATCTCAAATTCGTAATTTATTACATTAAATATTATCTGTATTGGAAGATTTAAAATGTTTAGATAAAATATCGAATTTAGCATTGTTTTTGAACAAAGAATTTGATTCAGTTCGGTTAATCTATTTATCTATTTAGAGATCTGTCCTTCATAGTAGATATGAATCTCGAAATGATGTCATTTAACAGAATATGTTAATGTTAAATTAATGTTAATATATTAATCTAATTGTTTTCAGCATCGAAATGTTTGTTAAACTTTATTCAAATTAAAGCGAATAGCAATAATTAAAGTACATGTAAAACGTACAATGATTTCAACATAGTCCTGTACTACTTTCAAAACATTTCATTTCAACAAGAAATTTAAGGAAATGAAATGAATATAATTCAAATTATAGGTTTACATAATAACAACAGATTCATTTTATAACTCCGTGACAACAATTTTTCAAGGCTTCTTCTCTTCTTGATCAGATAAATTCTACAATATATAGAATTATCGCCTTTTCAATACTTTCAGGTGATTTTCCACTCGAAATATATAAAACCTTTATATTTTTCATTAATATATAAGTTGCAGTCAGTTAATTATAAAAAATTTATTTATTTTTATACAAAATTTAATTATAGCATTAATGATGTATTTTGTATAAGTAATTTTGTTATTTAAAGTAATGAGACAAGATTAGCTATGAGTAGTAAGTAGCCTATATCAATATGCTAAATTAACAGGATGACAGTATTAAAAAAATCTTAACAAGTTGCGTAACTTTACCGGCTGTTAACAGATTTTATTACAAAAACGTTATATATTTTTTAATTATTATAAAATGGGAAAAGCTTAATTTTGATAGTAGTGATGAGTTTTATTAAAAACAAAATTATTCTTTTGATGTTAATAACGATTAAAATTTTTATTAAATCCAACCTCATTTTAGACTGATACACGATCACTCTCTATCTCCCCACTCCCTCCACGTTAACACAACAAAATTTAATAGCATCAATGCCCCCTTATTCTTAATGATTCTTCATCGTTACCCCATTCTGAGATATAAACAAAAAATTATTATTAAATATTAAAATTTGTACAAGGTAATATATTTATAATTTGCTAGTAGTAAAGTTTTAATCAGCTTTATTTGGCTGCAATTTGAAAAAATTATAGACATAAATTTCAATTGTCCTCCGTCTGTCCGTCTGGCTTTTCTTAATCTAAAGAAAGGAGTTAGATAGATGAAATACAAGACCAGATATGGAAATCTTGGGGACAGGAGGCCCTAATTAACTATATATGAACTTCCGATGCAAACCGAAAGACAGATTATTTCAATTCAAAATTTTCTCCTGAAAGATGTTACATAGATGATCAGCACGGCTCTGTTGCTAACAGGAAAAGTATGATGTACAGGGGAAAGCCACTACTAATCTGAGGTGGAGTGAATTAAATTAATTACAAATATGATTAAAAATTTGCAGCTCGGCATTGTGACGATGTCACAATAAATAATTGCTCATACCAATATAGAATATTAACCTATACTTACGTGAATGCTGTAAAAAAATTAATAAAAATATTTATTGTTTTCTTCTTTATCTAATATAGCATTTTTCTCCGAAACAAAAATTCAACCGCACTAATTTCAAAAGAAATAAATTTTATTAAACGAGAAAATAGTTAAGAGTTGTTACATAGTAACTACAGTAATACCTGTAGTTTGATATGAAGTTAAACGGGCATCGTATAACTAATGCTTTATTTTTAGATTTGTTTACAAGCCAGTGCAACTGTCAGAAAATGATTGTTTTGGCTATCAGGTGAACTTTGTTTCTTTACATAATAATTATCGAAAATTGATAGAAACAGATACTACAGATGTTTCTGAAACTAACTGAATTCTTGCAAATTCAACTATTATAAGTAAGCATTTTTATGTGAAATTGCCTTTTAGACATTATAAAATAAAAATAGATAACTGAAATATTTTATAAAATGAAATTATTGATATTTTTTTCTTGTTAGAAATTCATTTTAAATTAAAAAATTCAATGCAATATTACTGTAAAAATAATTTAACTTAACAAATTAATTCGAATTATTCATGTGAAGAAAACAGAACAACACTAAAATTCTTAACAATAAAACAATTATGTAAGTTATATTAACAAAAATAGAAACTGAGTATTTTTTGAAATCGATATTACATATTGTATTTAAATACTTCTATAATAATGCATTTGTATATGGTATATAAAAAATAGCATATTTACTGAAGCTAAATAGAATTTACCTATAATATTCTCTTTCTAGTTAAAAATTACTCAAAGAATTTTCACTAGGTAAATGATGTTATGATTATATTTGCTATTATTATTATAATCAGAATACGGTTAGATTAAACTTATCAAATATCAAATATCTAATGATAAATTCTAATCATGTTCTAAAGTCGACATACCGTTGAAGTTTTCTTTCTTTTCAATAGGATTTGCGACAATCGATCATACCAGATGTGCAAACTTTTGTCTTTTATATTTATTTTCAAATTAATTGGATCGCTGAGTACTTCAGACGTCGATGTTTTTGATGACAGTGCAGTGAAACAATTGAATAATTTACGAATAGAATGGCTGAAATTCATGTCGTCAGTACCAAATACTGCTTGGATAACACATAGCCTCTCATATCCTGGATTTCTCAATAAAAATGATCACCGTGGAATGTCCATCGACTTGAACCACTTGACATACAATGTATCGAACCATAACAATATGCTCGATGCAATTAACAATTCTGTAGACGCTATGCATTATGACATTAAATCTTCGGGAAATAAATGTAATTATGATTTGATTTATTTGTTGTTCAATTTACGAAAATCTTGGGCCGAACAAAGTGAGTATCGTATTTTATTTTCTTTTTTTTTAAAATATAAAATTATTTCTTATAAATGTAATTTAATTAGTGTTGGATGCCACTGGGAAATTTCCTTCTGGGCTATTAAAGGGAAATTTACTTTGGTTGGGTGATTTTAAACAGTGTCGAAATGTCACCGTACCACTAAAAGTTATTGGAAACTTTAATTTTGGAGGATTTAAAGGCGAATACTGTTATTTTACTTGGACGATTTCACTACAACAGGTAATTCTTTAATAAGAATTTATTCTATTTATTCGTAAAATATACAATGCCATTTTAAATTATAGTATCATGCAAACATGCCTTTAAAATTTGGTATATGTGTACCTGATTCGTGCACTGAAGAAATATTGAGGAATGATGCAAAAGCAGTAGCGAAAATTTTACGTAAGTTATTTTATTTTTTAAAAAACGAAATTTTAAAAATTTTGCTTTATAACAAACTCCATCTTTATATTTGAATAAAGTCAATTCTTACCAATAAAATTTGTTTATTGTTACCAAACCTAAAAAATTTACCAAATCTAAAGTAATTAGTAATTATTGTAAAATAGAATCATATTAAACAGAATTTTTTTACAGATTATATTCCTACAGTTAATAAACTTATAAAATACGTTAACAGTACACAAATAACTTGTCAAACGTCCAATATAAAGTGGGAAACTAGTCACTTCGCTTACATGTGAGTATATATCAGGTTTAAAGGTGAAATTTAGACATTTCGATTATTTTCTAAAAATGACTGAAAAATCTTCTAGATCATTCGACGTGGATATATAAGTAGAGTTACCAACCCTTTAACACATACTTCATTAGAAATAGACGCATGAGTAATGTCTCACAATACAAAACTTTCGAAAGAATACACTCACGTGCTTTTGTTTCCGATCTCATCTGCAAAGCGTTTGTTAAAGCGTTTATAGATAAACAAAGATTAACCAGGACTTGCAAATGTCAAAGAGCTGATAGTGCAGAAGAAGGCGATAATCGGTGTTTTTTTTTTTTTTTTTTTT